GATCCTATCAATCAACCATTAATGCTTTCCAAAGATACCAGATCAATTTAGGCATGATTGAGTTAGATCATCCTGGACGATAATAATATCATCCTGGCCGATTTCCTAAAACAAAGACTTCCTAAACTGATTATGGCGGTTGATTCTTTCTGAATTGAGATTATCATCCTAGCCAATACAAGTATCGTCTAGGCCGATCTGTTGACGGCTGCCTTAATGAGGATGCCCTAATTAGGGTTTCTATTTTTAGACCGATCGGCCAGGTCGATAGGACGATCGTCCAGGTCAATGTTATCAAAAACAGAAATCCTAAAGGGAACAACATGAAAACTTCTATGTTACATAAATACAGGTCCCACACCCAATACAATTGACTCAAGAAAGGAAAAGATTACAAACTGACACAAACCTAGTCTACCCAATCTTGAGCTGGTTCTGAATTGCAGTCTTGATTGTGTGGTCCTGAAATGTTAGTATATAAGGCAATCGTATAGAAAAGGAAATGTTTGCTATCATCAAAATCATGAACCATAGATTCGCAACAATCCACAATACTCTTCACCTCCTTAGCAATTTCCTTAGAGACTTGTAAAAAAATAATGACATCATCAGCATATAAGAGATGAGTGATTCTAGGACCTCTAGGAGAGATTTCAATACCAATATTAAGGCCCCTTTCATAAATGGAATTGGATAGCAATTGAGAGCACAAGATATAAAGAAAAGGGGATAAAGGACAACCTTGACGAAAGCCACTATGAGCCATAATCCATTTAGAATTCCTCCCATTTATGATAATAGAGAACCTCACATCAGTAATGCATTCCATAATAAGATTAGCATATCCAGGAGGGAAACCATACCATTTGAGGATGTGATCAAGAGTAGGCCATCCCATGCTATCCCAAGCTTGCTCCATATCAAGCTTCAAAGCCATCATCCCCTTCCTATTTCTGTAAACTTTGAACTTGTGTAAAATCTCCTGTGCCAAGAGACAGTGCTCAGAGATAGATCTCCCAGAAATAAAAGCCATTTGTTCCTCAGTAATCAGCTTGGGCATACACATCTTCAATCTATTCCCTAGCATAGTAGCTACAACCTTGTAATTCGTCTGACACAGGCTAATAGGACGGTAATTGGAAGGAAGCAAAGGATTCTTTACTTTTGCAATCAAAACAATTAAAGTGTCTTTCCAATCTTTCCTCATACAACCATTAGTAAAAAAACTATTGACAACATTCCATAAATCTTTCCAAACTATATCCCAATAGTATTTATAGAAAGAGGAACTAAGACCATCCATACCTGGGGAACGATTGTTCCCTTGCTGGAAAACTGACTTCTTAAGCTCCATCACCAAGAAATCTGAGCTAAGAACCTGGATATCCTCATCATTTATCTTCTGGTGAGCCAAAATATGGGCCAACCTGATAGTTGACAGCTTCTATTCTTCCATTTTGATTCAAAATGTTGAATAAAAACCTTTTCAATTTCCTCTTCTTCAATTTGCATCATATTGTAAGCATCTCTAATTTGGTTTATACTATTACCATTCCTTCTAGCCGTAGCAAAATTATGAAACAAATTGGAATTATAATCACCTTCCTCAAGCCACCTTTCTTTAGCTCTTAAATTCCACCATGTAGCTAACCTCTCCAAGGTAACATTAAGTTCATGAATTTTACTTCTAAGTAAAATCAGGTCTTGAGCTGACCAATCATTCCCCACAGCTTCTTTAGATTGTAATTCAAGAATTTCCATCTTCAGCTTTACTTTAAGTTCATTTAGATCTTTGCATTTGCTTTTACTCCAAAAGAAAATAGCTTTCAATGTTCTATTAATATTCCTTTGTAGAACCATACCTTCCTCCCCAAAGTCATTCTTCATCCAAGAGTGATAAACAATGCTTCTAGCCGCTGTATACATCCTCCAAGTATCTTCAAATCTAATGATTTTAGACTTTATATGCTCCTTTTCGTTGACATTGAAGGTAATAGGACTATGATCCGAAGCCACCCTTGCAAGATGCCTAGTAGCAGCCGAAGGAAGCAATTTTAGAGCAGTAGAATTCAACAGACATCTGTCAAGCCTCTCCCAAATCCTAGATGTCCCTTCCTTATTATTACACCATGTATACCTTGGACAAATAATCCCCACATCGTGAAAGTCACAACTAGTCATGAAATCCTTCATATCTCTAGGTCCTTTGGTAAAAAGGAATCTTTTACCACCTCTTTTCTCATCTTTATTAAGCACACAATTAAAATCTCCCCCAATGATAGAAGGATTAGAGCTCACCATACATTTATTCAATAAGCTCCAAAGAGTTTCACACTCCTTGCAATATCTACTACCATACACAGTAGCAATCCTCAAAGATCCCATTCTAGGGATAGATAAATCTCCCACAATCACCTGTGAAGAAGTATCAGTAATCACAAAGTTCCCAATCTTCGTATTCCATAACACTAAGATGCCACCAGAAAGACCCACCACAGGAAAATGATAGAAATCCCATTCCTTTCCAATAAGAACATCAACATCCTTCCTAATGATAATACTCATCTTAGTCTCCATAAGGCCAATGAAAAAACATCATGATCTTTAACCACCACTTTCAAGTACAGAGCAGCTTCCCTCTTCCTAGCCCCTCTGCAGTTCCAAAAAAAAAGTGAAGACATTTAAACAAAGGTAGGGGAACTCACCCCAATTAGGGACACCATTCGTCCATCTATTTTCTTCTTCTTTATTTCTTGATCAACCGGCCCCAAGGATTTCAACTCCTTAGCCAATTTGACTTTAGCAGAGCCATTCAAGCTGGGTTTAACTTCAGTCACAACATCAGCATTACTACTTTCCTTTCTCTTAATCAGCAACTTGACAGAATCATCATGCTCCTCATGACAGTCTATATCATTGTCTTCATTTAAAACCGAAAAAGAATTATTCAAACAAATTCCTGCTTTACAGTTTTTTGCCTCCACTCCTATGTTTACATTGGTTTCTGGAACTGAATTTTCCTCCATCTGTTCCTTGTTTTCTTTTCCATTAGCATCCTGCTCTTGCAAAACTATGTTCTGATCATTCTTTCCCATGTTATCCTTCACTCTATTCTTACTAGAGTTGTTATTTCTATATCCATCCACAACTTTGAAAACCCGTCTGTCCTTAAATTGGACATGAATCCATGGCCCATACTCTGCATTGGTCACTACTGTTTTAATTCCTCCATCCATTTTCCTTACTTCTCCAATAACTTCTTAAAAATTTCCCATTGCTTGATTCTTAATCCCCAGAGCCACCTTCACAAGGCATGTATTCAATTCATGCCCCGCCCGACCACACTGATAGCAGAGTAGATTTATCTTCTCATATTCAACCCGTTGGAAGAATCTTCCGGCAAGACCATCAATCCAAACTCCATTTGGGAGCTTCTTTTCCAAGTCAATCTTGATGCAGATGCGGGCGAATTCTCTCTTTCCCCACCGAAACATATTTCTATCTAAATATAATGGTGTGCCAAACCGAGAATCAATTTTTGCAAGGCTATCCTCATCCCAACAGAACAGAGGTAAGCACGGAAGTCTAATCCACACCGGAGCCGAAATCCCTTTAAACGAATACGGATCAAATGCCGGTGACCATCTATCCATACCAACAATGTATCATTGACATACCAGGGTCCACCATTTAAAACTTCATCCACCGCCTCACTAGTTTTAAAAGAGCAGAGGATCTAGTTCATACCGATTGAAGTCATGTGAAATCCGCCAATGTTCCATTGTTTTCTCAGATTAAAACTGCAAACAGAATAAGGAACATTACCTCCAAGGACTTTGATAACAATCGAATTTTTTAGCACCTCTAAATTTTTGGCTTCTATCACTGGATTAAGCTTCACCGCAATACCATCCGCAGAGAGTTCAAGTTGTTCATTTTTAAAATCAATTATAATATGATTTGGCTTCTACCAGGCTCCAATGACCTCACAAACATCTCCTTGTTCATTACAATTCAAAGTTTCATTCAGTAATTCCTTATCAGAGCTATTTCCTTTTCCAGAAATTTCATCACTCTTGGGGTTGAAAACAACTACTTCCTGAACAGGACGAGACTGGTTCATCCCAGAAAAACTATTAACCTTTAAGACATTATTCTTTATCTCCGATGATTCAAGATTATCAAGAATACAATTCTTAGCATTCCCTAATCTTTCCGCAGCAATCCGTCCCGATAAACCTTCATTCAAGATCTTCTTTCCTTTACCTTCAATCACCATTGGCTGAATCACCAATCGCGATCCTTCTCTGATAAACTAGTCGCTTCTACCTCTACCACCCAATCGAAGAGGACTGGAAGGACGTGGACCTTCCAAAACATCGGCCAAGAATGCCGATGAGCTGCCGGCGACGGTTCCTCCAACCGGAAACAAAACAGCAGGAGAAACAAATTCAAACCAAAAATGGGTTTTCTCTCTCTAGAAACCCGGACTCTCTCTCTCTAGACTTCAAAACTTATCTCATTAAATTAACATGAGCATTCAAATGTCCCTCTTGCACTTTAGAAGACCTGACCAATTCATTTTCCTTCTTATGGTACGAATGTAATTCAAACCATTCACCCAAACCATAGCCATGCATATTACAGTGAGAACAAAAAATCAGATAATTTTCAAACTCAACCTTTTGAAAATAACCATTTAATTCAGAACCTTGCGATATATCCGAAGGATATTTTTTAGAAATACTAACTCAACCAAAACACAAGCCGCAGAAAACCGTGAAACCAAAGCTGTGGCCTGATATTTTTGTAGAGTCTGACCAAGAATGGAAGCAAGCCCAAAAGCACTTGAGAATTAAAAAAATAGAGACTCAGATTAGGGAAAGAAACCCAAACTGGAGCAATTGATGATTCCTCACGTACATCAAAGTCGGGTGTCCATTTAAGGAGCCTCATTTGGCAAGCCTTAATATAATAAGTTCTCCTCAAAAAAATCTAGCTATAATCCAAGTCGTTAATCAATTGGATCGCAACATGGCCTGGGTCAAGTAATGCGATATGAAAGGAACCAAAGAGCTTCAAATTCATGAAAAATGTGTGGATTACATTGAGGTTAGAATGCCTCAAAACAAACTAACACACAAGAGTAAGAGAAAAAGGGGTAAGTAACTGCGACACAACTGAATCATCAAACTTTAATATAGGACATCCCTTAAATGATGAATGAACAAATTGGAAGGGAGGGGAAGAAGCAGATGGTCCAGCAAGCACATCTTTAAAAGTTTGAGATTTGCCATTCATAGCATAAGCCAACGGAAGAGGGTAAGATGACGATGGGGTCGTCATCCCCCAAAACCACAAAAATGATGGAAGAAACAAAATTGAAAGTCAAAAGCAACATAAGAAAAACAAATAACATGGGGAAAAAATGAATCCAAGATAAGAAGACATAGACCTCGCTAGAGAAAACCCGAAATGAAACCACACGGGCAGCCAAAGATGAGTTACAAAAGCCATAGCAAAAAACCTAAGGAGATCCAACCAGGAAGGAACCAAATGAACACATAGAATTTCCTCAGAATCGCCTCAAAAACTAGAGCCAAAGAGACGTTGAATAAAGTAGTTAAGAGAGTGTGATGGATTACAACATGTGTTACTTCCTAGAAGTGTTAAACTTTAAGTCTTCAGCAAGACTTACCCAAAATTTCCATTTGGCTAAGGTGGATGATTTCTACTCCTCATTCCTAGGGGTATCTGTTTCCCTCTCCTTAGGATTACCTTCAGAGTTACTAAGTAAAGATCCTATAGGCTGACTATTCATAGTATTGCAAGGAATTTAATTTGAGTTTTTCTAGGTTTTTAATTGATGAAACATTGTTTTATAATTGAGTTCCCAATTTCCTTGCAACATCTTATAGTGGGGTCATTCTAGTTCCATTATAATTGCCTTGACTAAATCTTGGAGGATAAGCTGGTCTTAGATTATTATTATCTTTATTTTAATTTTTCCAATATGTTCCTTAGTTATTTTGACCAAATATCCACTAATTTCCATCATTATTATGTGACCATCTAAATTTAGGTGATTCCTCCAACAAGGATTATATGTATATAAATAAGAATTATATTATATTCCAATTAAATTTATTTTTAAAATACCTTGAATATGATTATATTCAATTGAGATTTTGTCTTCTAAATATTAAGATGAATAAGAATTTAAGCTTATAGTAGTCAACTTCTTTTATATTACTAGAACTAGTGCTGTCAAAATGGATAAAGAATCACTTTCATAGACTTATATCACTCTTTTAGGATTCACCCTATCAGCAGTCTACTCAAATTTATTTATTTTTATTTTGTCAATTAATTCATAATCATCCTAAGAGGATTTGGCATCAATGAACCTCTAGCTGTGGCATCAATTATAGCTCAAATGGATCGTACAAATCCATTATAAAAACTTTTAATTATTAACCAATCTGTTAAGGCATAGTGACAACACTTTCTAAGCATCTCCTTGAATCTCTCCCAACTCTCATAAATAGATTCTCCTTTTAACTGAGAAAAATAATTAATATCATTTTAAAGTTTGTTAGTCTTAGAAGGTAGAAAATACCTTTCTAGAATTTTGTGGGCCAGCTCATTCTATGTGGTAATAAAGCATGGGGGTAAAGAATTTAATCACATATTTGCCTTATTTCTTGGATAAAATGGAAACAATCTTAGTCTAATAATATCATGACTAACATAAATGTGCTTAAATATTACACAAATTTCTAAGAATTGTGTAAAATCTTGGTTAGGATCTTCAATGAAAGTTTCCAAAAACAATGAATTCTATACCATATGAATGATTATAGATTTCAAGTCAAACTTCTAAGCTTGGATGGTAGGTCTATTTATCCTCTGATGAATTCCATCTACCATAGGGTTTATAAAATCCTTAAGAGGCATCGAATGATTAAATTCTTAAATAGGATCATTCATTAAAAAATCTTTTTAGCGGTTCTAATTTTAGAAAGTGTTCTCTTAATTTCTAAATCAAAATCTTGAATGGTTCCTTTCTATTGCATCTAAGCATGCAACCATAATTATATAATTAGTAAAATAAAATAAAATAATAAAAGAATATAATAGGATAAATTATGCAATTGATTCAATAATATAGTAAATTTTTCAAATAAAGAAATTCTTCCTCAGCCACAATGCCAAAAACTTGATGGGTAACCTAAAAATTTATGAATATAATTTAAGGCTTGATCAATCCCTAAATAATTCTTATGTTTTTTCTAGATCTAAAAATTATAAAAAAACCTCACTTAATATAAGTAAGTATACGTGCAAAACCAAGTAATATAATGTTAGAGTAGAGTATTAATCCCACGAGGAGGAATATTAATTGCAAATACTAGTACTGTATAGTACAATTACAATAAGTATTTTAGTTAATAAAAACATTTTTTGTTGGAAATTCAATCACTTGATTTAAAAAAAAAATTAAATAAAATATTATTTGGATAAAATGTTTTATATTGATGAACTGAAAAATATAATATTTTTCCTAATGATTATCT